GCAGCACTGGACTCCCATGGCTGGTAATTGAGTTGGCAGCACAAGCGCTTGAAATAAGCAATGGTAGAGCAGAGTTCATACCTGGTAGTGTTGTTATTGGCGTAGAAGTGGTGCATGGAGAAGTTATAAGTGCTCTCATTTTGATTATTAGAATTTGTTTTCCTATCCACAATTTCTTCCTTCCAGCTTCAAACACTGATTCAAGAAACAGACCCCGGTGCAGATTACCGCATCGACCGAGCGCTGAACGAGGCCTGTGAGTCGGTGATACAGACTGCCTGCAAGCACATACGCTCTGGAGACCCAATGTAGGCGGCTCTCGGTTACAACTGAGTTTTGTTTCTATTGGGCATCCGTGAAGGTTGTGTGGCTGACCAGTATAGATACTAAAACCTGTCCAGAAATGGTAGACTCCAAACTAGTAATTCATGCAGGGTTAGAGGTGTGATCTGAGCTCTGTCTTCATTCTTGCCCTGTAAGCAGGCTGGTATTTTTGTAACAGGGCTGGTTTAGTACTGGTGAAGGACATACCTGTCTCAGGTGCTTAGATTAAATTAGTAACATTTGATGTGCTAATTTCTCTTGCTACATAAGTCTTTAGCAATATCATAAAGAAAAGTAACAAGCCTTGAAAGGCCAGTTAAGCAAACACATAGCGCAGAGAGAAATGTCTCCTTTATCTTCAGCTCTGATATGTATTGTCCCCTGAGCCAGATTTTATATAAAACATAAAGCTTGCTGAGATAACTAAAACCATGGAATTTAAGGGGGTACAGATGTAGTATACCATTGTTTTAGATGTAATCTCTTTGAAGGAAGAGGAAGATCTTCGCTGTGTTTGAATGTCTTATCTATGGTTCATTGGAAGGACTGATTGGGCAACACCAGCTGTTACAAGGAAGCTCAGCATGATTATAAGTCTGGTACCGAACTTTTTTCTTCTGTTTGCAGGATTCTGTCTTGCCTGATGGAGCACTTGTATACTGAGAAGATGGTAGAGGACTGTGAGCATAGGCTCCTGGAGCTCCAGTATTTTATATCTCGTGATTGGAAGTGAGTACTGTAAAACAAGATTTACCTGCGCTTGATGCTTGTGTTTAGTGTTTGTATACATTAGCAGTTCCTTATAAAACAGTATAGGTTATGCTTGTTCAAAAGAGGGCTTTTAAGCATGCCAGGTCTGTAGGGCATTAATGCTTGTCTCAACAGTAGAAGCAAAAGCTGCTTAGGAAAAAAGCAAAGTGTGATGCCCACTTAAGTCAGGTACTCACTGAGAAATGATGCAACTTAAAAAGCATCTCGAGTTTGAGCTCTGAAATTCAACGCATCTTTAATTAAAAGAAGTCCTCTGGCCATATTGAAGTTGAAGGTCACTTTCTGTGCAGGTGTTAGCCAGTTTTACCTGCTCTGAACACTACAATATGGGAGTTAAGAAAACAAAGCTACTAATATAACAAAGAGACACTGGTGAGAGGCTCCTTGCTTCTGTTTCTGCCTTTTTTCAAATTCTCTAGGTGTGATTACAGCCTGCAGAGCAGATGTAATTCCCTTTGGAGCACTGCTTTTCCAAGTTTCTCATCGGAAGACGGCAGTGCTTTGTTTTAAATATATACAGAGCCTCTGTGTCTGTGTGGGTTAAGGTGAGGAGGGTATAAATTTGATAAATATGACCAGTGAGGAAAGAATAAGTGTGTGGCTTTTCATCTGGAGAAGACTCAGAGGTGAGGAAGTAAAGTACATCAAATGGGGTTACTTCAAGGAATGGAATAATTGTTCTCAGTGACCACAGGGAGTATAAGGCAAGAGGTCGTGGGTTTCAATTATTGCAAAGGTTATTCAAGTCAAGCATTAAGAAAATCTGACTCATAGCTGTGTCTCTGGGCAGCATTGCTGGTAGTTAAGAGCTGACACGCTCTCTGAACCTTCTGCTTTTAAAATAGATGGGGCTTCATGGACCTGAGAGTATAGGGCTTTGTGGCTGGTTATTTAGTCATCTCAATAACTGATCTCTATAGGTAAATGAGAATACTCTACTTATTTTTCCTCCTCTTCCTATTTCCCTTCATTTCTGGTTCTCCTGCCTGTGCTATGTTTCCAGCAAGCAATTAATTGCTTGAGCCAAACTTAAGTGATGGGAAGAAGTAAGACTGAGTATTTGCATTTTGCTGGAAGTAAAGATAATTCCTCTTCATATTACAGGCTGGGCAACTTTAACTCATCTTCCTCGTTTAACCCCTGTTTGCTAAAACTGGCTTGTAAAAACTGTTGTGTTAACTGTGCGCCTAGCACAGACGCACCGAGTAGAAATGGTTTTCTTCCTAATTTTATCATTATCCATACAATTGTGTCCACTGATATCATTTGATGTTTGTCTTCTAAAGCGTTGTAGAAATCTGAAGCTTCCATTTTGGAAAGTTGGCGATGTCTCACTTAGCTTTAATGTAATCGGACATCATTGTAGGAGATCTGCAATTGCAGTTTTCTTGTCTGTAAAAGCAAGGGGTGCTGAGTCTTCAGTTAGCTCAAATCCAGAGCAGGCAATAATTAATCTAACTCAGATTTTTATGAAACTAACATTTCAAAATGGCAGCAGTACAAAGTACAGTAAGATATTATACAAGAAAAAGCACAGTATGTACCTGTCTTTCTTCTGCTTTAGGACATTAAGGGGATGGTCTCTTTTCTCGTGTGTCAGCATGTGGCTGGTATGCTGCAGAAGAGAATGGGAGGCACTTCAAGAAGCGTTGAAGATCTCATTAAAGCTCTTGGTGTATTTTTGCAACATTAGGGAGCTGATTCCAAATTGAGTGGCAGGCATTTGTTCAGTTGGTTAGACACCGCTGCTAAATGATGTGACGGAATATGACACTTGAAGTAGATTTTTCTGCCTCAGAAGCATTTCAGAATCTGAAAAACATTAAAGGTTTGAATAAAGTGCTAGTGATAACTTTTTTGTTTGCAGGTTAGATACAGTGCTTTACCGCAAGTGTCAGGGAGATGCCTCCCGTCTCTGCCATACCCATGGCTGGAATGAGACCAGTGAGCTGATGCCTCCGGGGGCTGTTTTCTCCTGCTTGTACAGGCATGCGTACCGCACAGAGGAGCAAGGAAGGAGGGTAAGTGCTGGAGTGCAGCTACTGCTCTCTGATCTGTGATAAAGGCTCGTACGTACACTTGAAGTTGGACACTGCTAAAACTGTGCAAGAATTTGCAAAAGCTACTTAAAAGTATTTGCCATACATGGTAGGTGCACTGCTTCAGATGCCCAGCTGCTCCTCAGGTGTGCCTTGAAGGTCTATGTTGTTGTTCTGTAAGGCAAAATAGCCACATCAAGTGTGGCAATTGCCTGCAGGGGGAACTGTATGCTGACAGCAGCTTCTGTGTATCTGTTCAGACACAGTGCAAGTCCTCCCTCTTGTCTTTCCAAAGAGGAATGCGGTTCCTTGTGGATAGCTAGCATAGCTGCAAAATTGGTTTATGCAAAAAGGAGTTCCAAGCAGAGCTTTCCTAGGCTGTTTCTAATTAAGTTTTGATTTGAGTACAACTTCAGATTATACCCCATTAAATTCTTCCTGTTGATAGAAAGCATCCTTTCAGGTCTTTGGAGCATACTGTACTGGTAAATGTGCTTATGCTGTCTTTGAAGAAGGCAGTAGGGAGCTGACTTGCTGCCCTGCAATCTAGAGATCCACCATAATCACATTTGTTTGGTTCAGAGCTACTCTTTTTGAGTTTGCTGCCCTCTCGTGCCTTCATCCAGGCACTCCCTGGAATGCAGCTGGATGCTCAGGTCCATTTCTTTTGGCACTGTAGTTTATGCAGCCCATAGCAGTTGGTGAGTTTACACATAAATTACAAATTCATTTCTACAGCTTGATTTAAAAGGTCTTTTGTGGCAGAGGTTAAGTATTGATTGAAAGCATCTCTCTTTTAGGAATAATTTTTTTAAATGCAGTTCCTAAGTCTGCTGAGTTGAGACTTTAAGTGCTGACCAAATAAATCAATGGCCAGCCTGCAAATAATCTATCAGGGAGAGAAAAGACTTTTAAATGTATTTTTCTTGTGGAAAGTAGGCTAAGGGAACAGCTGTCATTTTGAAATTTAGCATTTGAAAGCAAACTCATCAGAGGTTAGGTCTCTACTTTTTTCCAGTGCTGTCCACAAAATCCTAGGTAACTTCCAGTGGTTTGGGTTTTTAAATGTATGAAGTTTTAAGCTTCCACCAGCAGATTTTAGGTCTGACAAGCACCATGCCATTATCCCTTGATTTTTCTACAATTTGTTTCTTCTTCAGTCTTGGCAAATGCTGGCTCTGACATGCTGCAGTGGGGATTGCTGAGAAGAAATTATAGCTGGACTATATCGCCTCATTCTGGGCTTCCCTTTTGGTAATGAGGGCATGAGCTGTTTTGTCTGTCTTCTCCAGAAACAGTCTGTAGCTTTGAATGAACAGGGCAGTGCAGCAGATAATCTAGGAACCTGCTCATTTCAAAAGCAAAGTGAAGGTTTAAGAGTATAAGATTTATTTTAGTGGAATGAGAGAAGCCTTCCTCCAAGCTAAATGACAAAGCTCCAAACTCTTTTGTAGCCTGGATTGCTTGTGGAGGCCCCAGCAGCCTCGTGCCGAGCAGTACAGGATGGCTTCTGTACTTTCTGGGATTACTGATGGCATTCATGGTCACTCTCAGTACGTCGTCACCTGATGGTGTCTTGTTTGCATTGTGTGGATTTGGAGACCCCATACACTAGATGCTCTTTGTCCTCTTTGCAGCTGTCGCGAGAGTGCAGAGCAGAGGTCCAGAGGATCCTCCACCAGCGTGCCATGGATGTGAAGCTGGACCCAGCCCTGCAGGACAAGTGCATGATTGACTTGGGGAAGTGGTGCAGTGAGAAAACAGAGACAGGGCAGGTACTGTACACAGGGACACAGCTGCTTCTGAGGGTTGGGAAGGGCAAAAAAGGGATGAAGGGACATCTTGTTGTTAGCTGTCTCTTTATGGCTGAGAATACATTAAAAAGGCATGCGGTTTGAAACGTAATCTACGCTAGGCTGAGAGATGGAGGTGATAGAAGCAGCTTTGCCCCTACTGCATGGCTTCAGTAGGTTCAAATGTGTAGTGGAATGGGAAGGGGTAGTTAACAAGAAGGACTTTAATGAAGCAACCCCACCCCACTCTGACTCTTTCTGTAATATTCTATTACAAGTTTGACATTTCCCACATAAACTTTATCCTATTTCCATTTGGCAAATACCGACGTGCTTCCTTTGTTTATACAGAACTGAACTAACATCTGCTGCTACTTACCAAAGTTTCAACAAATACTTTCATGTTCAATTGCTGTACCCTAGCATAGCTGGAGGGGAGGAGCCATTCAACAGCAGATCCAGTAGACTGTATGTCGTTGTCTTTAAGTGCCCATCGTAGGTTATAGTTTGGATAATTAACCTCTCATTAAGGTTATGCAAAGGGCAAATTAAATGTGATATTTCAGAAGTGAAAGTGCATCATGCAGCTTTTGGGAATGTGGTAACATTCTAGACTGACGTTCTCAATCACTGCTATGTAAATGTGTTTTGGGAGCGCCAGTAGAGGAGTGGGATTAAATGAGATTTAGGACTTCATAAGGAGGAGGGCAGTTTCACTTGTGTTACAGTATTTCAAGCCCTAATTTTCAGATTGGGTCCTTGGATCACACAGTAAAATATTTGGTTTTGTAGGAGCTGGAATGCCTTCAGGACCATCTTGATGACTTGGTGGCTGATTGCAGAGACATAGTGGGAAACCTGACTGAGCTGGAGTCGGAGGTGAGCAGCTCTCAGCCTGGGATAAAGGGAATAGTTGAGCATGTCTAGTTAAGCATGTCATTTTGATAGTGATGAAGGAAAGTGAGGTTAGAGTAATTGCAGAAGGTCAGCTCTCTGGGATCAAGCAGAGACCGTCTATTCTGACCCGTACAATGGAAGTTTTCATGGGGGGGTTCTTGAGGAAGAGAATTGAACAATGGTTCAGGATTTTAGGCTGGTGATGACACTTCTCCTGCTTAAAATCAGTTATGGTACTGAAGCTGAGATTTCTTGCACAGGTAGCCCAATTACCTTTAGTACAACTCAAGATAGGTCATGGGATTTCATTTTTTGGTCTTGCTTGCAAGTAGTTTTGAGTACCACATTGCAACTTCCCTCCCCGTGTCCCAGAAGGATAACTGCCAGGGGCATCATTAGAGGTTTTCAGTGAGATCAGCAGCTGTACTTATTTTGTGAAGCTGCGTGTGTGACTGTCTTGCCCTAAACTGTTCCCTATATCTCTTAAAATTTACATTGTGCCCTAGGGAAAACTTCCTTCCAGCGGTTACAAAATGGTTTGCTCAGAACTATCATTAATATTAATAATTAATTAACTCCTGCCTAGGTGTGAGGTGATTTCTAGTGCTGGAGCATCCAGTTTGGAGAAGGTTGACTGAAATACCCAAGCAATGAGTTTCTGTGGAGACCAGGCTCTTCCCTTAAGCTGGAAGGCTTGTCTTGCATTTGCCGCATTGTTGGCAAGAACGAAGCCTAGGATTTCCTGAACTGAAGGGCAAAGCTGTCTGGATTGTATCTTTCAAACCCCTCTAAACTGGGCTGAGTTTAACTTGTTATCGCAGGTTTTTATCAGATCCTTTTTTCTTGTCTGTTCACTGTGAATTAAATGGTGCGTGTTTCCTGCAGGACATTCAAATCGAAGCCTTGCTGATGAGAGCATGTGAGCCCATTATCCAGACATTCTGTCATGTGAGTACTTCCTCATAGTGTTCAGTGAGTATCTTTGGGGAAAAAACACTGTGTGGGAAAGGTCAGAGGTTTTTAGTGTTAGTTCTTGGTGTACTCGCTACGCTTCAAAAGTAAAATCAGATGTAACTGGTTATAAAAAGCTTTAATTAAAAAACCACCCTAAAGCAAAAATTCTTAGTTCCATCTAGTACTTCTGCTGTTGTCAGAGCTCTAGCATAAAAGCTAGAGTTTGAAGATGAAAATTTCCTTGTAATTGGAAAAAGCACTCTTTACGGTGGGTTAAAAACTAAACTTTTTTCCTTCCCCCTTGCCCGCAAGCAGTGTGTGTAGCTGTGCCCTTCTGTGCAGCTGCTCAGCATTGCTGAAATAACTTCTTACATTGCTCTTGGAGTGAGTAGTCACAAAGCAATGAAGGCACCTAACTGTCATACTTCATGTAAGCTTTGAGTCTCTGCAGTGTGTCCTTCTGAGTCTAAAGCGTGTGTGTGCCTGAGGTGGTTTTTTTCTGGACTATATCTATAAATACTTGCATAGTACAAAACTCATGTGGTCAGTTAGTGGCGAGTGTAAGCTCACAACAGAGTGGGAGTGTAAATTCCATCATTGCCTGGTCACAGTGGGCTAAAGGAGCATAACAATCAGGACTTGTAAGAGTAGCCCATTTTTAAACCTTTCATCTTTTCTTCAGGAGGTTGCAGATAACCAGATTGATTCTGGGGACCTGATGGAGTGTCTGATACAGAACAAACACCAGAAGGAAATGAATGAAAAATGTGCCATTGGAGTTACTCATTTCCAGCTGGTAAGCAGTGCTTTTCTCCGCTGTCAGTGGAAGCCTGTTCTGTTCCTTGAGGGTGTTGACAGGAATTAGCTAATTATGAAACCCCTCCTTTGGGATTTATTTCCCACTGTATTTAAAGTGTTCTTGTGAGTCCAGATGGTTCTACTTGCATGCCTGGTCATAAATGGTCACCTCTGGGGATGACTGATTTTCAGGCCCTCCTGCGTCCCTGCCGGATGGTAGATGGGGTCCCAGCTTCTTCAGCGGTGCAGTGCCCCCTTTCTTCCCCAGTAATGAGTTGTGGACAAAAGCATTTGCTGACTATATGATTCAACAAGTGTTCTTTTGGGCAGCACTTTTCATTCTTTTTCCTCCAGGTGACCAAAATATTTTTTTTTCCTCCTCATTTCTTTCACAGGTTCAAATGAAAGATTTTAGGTTCTCATACAAGTTTAAAATGGCCTGCAAGGAGGATGTGCTGAAACTTTGCCCCAACATCAAAAAAAAGTATGTAACACCCGACCAAACAGTGATCTGATTGTATAAATATGTAGTAAAGTTACAGGATGTTTCATTATAGGGCAGAAAATGCTGGACTTCCTTTAAAGGCTGATTGTTTTGTGTCTTTTCCCTTAGTGACTGCGTTCTGCAGTAGTAGAGGCATTGCCCACCTCTTTAAAATTCCTTCTGCTTTACTCTTGCATATAAGCCTGTCCTCTTTATTTTTCTTGCTCTGAAAATAGCTAATTATTATGATTAGTGGACTGCATGTCCCAGGATGTTTTATATCCTTGCTAGCTTGATTCGTCATCTTCTAAGATGCAGGCTACCATTGTTCCGGATGCTGATCTGGGAAGGGAGAATATCGCCCTTGTTTGACTGGTTTATTCATTGCAGTATGAGGGCTTTTTTAGCAGCCTACTGCAATGATGTATGGGTAAATTACACACAAGGTCAATCCTGATCATGGATGGCAATTTGCATGTTATGATATAAATGCCCTTCCCGTAATGCAGAAGGATTGTTTGCAATGCCGTGTCGGTATTCACCTTCATCTGTTTCTGAGATTAAGTAAGGCTTTTCTAAAGTGCTCACGGGGTTGAAGAGCAGAGGTCTTGCTGGGCAGGGGTATGGGGGGATTTTGAATATCTTCCTGTCTGCTGCTCTACACTCCAATTAGATAGCATCAGATCTAGGTTTTAATTGTGATTATATAGAGCTATATGCAGGCTAGAAGTAAGCATAGATGCACAAAGGCTTTGCTGCGTTTGGATTCTCGGGGTCAGTTTCTCTGATCTGGTGATCCAACACCAATCTTGGCTGGTCTAAGTAAAGGGTATGTGAGTAAAAAACTGTTCTATTTTCCACAGGGTGGATGTAGTGATCTGCCTGAGCACAACTGTGCGCAATGATACTTTGCAGGATGCCAAGGAGCACAGGGTCTCTCTGAAGTGCCGCAAACAGCTGCGTGTTGAGGAGCTGGAGATGGTAAACATGCATGAAACTCCTGATCTGCCCGTTCTTCTAGTGAGGTCCTTCAATTAAACCCTCCTGGTTTGTCCACCCTGGGAAAAAAGGAACCTCATTCGTAAGATGTATCTGATTTGTTTTTTCCACTCCTCTTACAACACGAGGCTCAATTGTCCTTCATGCTTAAAGTGATGACTGTCTTCAGTTAATGGTCTCATGAGGGCTAAGGGAAGCTAAATGGGCATTGGAATTTCAGATAGAAGTGGTAGTGTTTAGTGTTAGATAGCAATGTGCTACATACACATGCTGATGTTGAAGTCCTCTAGGAGAGAACAAAAGCTTCGTTTTACCGAGTGAGGAAACAAGCACAGATGAAGCAACTTGACTCCAGCTGCTCTGAGTTGCTCAGTGGATAAATAAGAGTGGTGTTTGTTCTGGTAGGCAAGGCTGCCTCTCCGCTTCCTGCTGCTGTGCGTGAAGCAATAGACTTGAGGGCTTTGTCCAGTAGATGTTAGAGTGCTGAAGCTTCCCCTTAAGTAAGGTCGTATCAGAAGATGGCAGCACGCTTGCCTTTGTGTGGAAGAATTCAAATGCCGGGCAAACTTCATTCACATCCTCCAGATCACCCAGTAGATGGGTGGCTATTAAGAAGTCCTTTAGTTTTCACATTAAAATATTTTAGCTGTCCTGGACGTTTGTTTAGGAGGAGCACTGGAAAAAGCTTGCCAGCCCTTGAATTCGGTTTAAACCCTTTCTTCAGCGTCAAAAGCCAACTGATCCACTGCATGGATTTGTAAAGTTGATTTCACACTGACACCATTTCTTATAATCAAGACCATTAAATTCAAAGAAACTGATCTGCCTGTTGTGAGAGTTGCTTGCTGTGTTAATCTGTTAACTAGAGCCCTCTACTCACAAAAAGTGAAATGCTCACAGTTTGTATTGTAATTTATTGTGCAGACTGAGGATATCAGACTTGAACCAGAACTGTATGAGGCTTGTAAAAGTGACATCAAGAATTACTGCCAGAATGTGCCCTATGGCAATGCTCAGGTAATGGATTTTATTAATAATTTACAATTTAATTTGTACTTTAATTTCAGAAATCTTTTTAAGAACACTGTGAGTGCATTTTCATTTGATATCACTGCAATCTTTTGCCAGTATTTTGTAACATTAAATCTATTTTTTTTTTCCACGAGCATTAATACTGGGTGAATACAGTGCTGTGAACAATTAATTCCTCAATTAATGCTTGTTTTAAGCTATTAGCACCTAGTTACTGCAAATGTTGCTGAAGATTTCTTAGGTGTAATGTCTGCAAGATGAGGTTTGGGGTTTTGGAGTAAGTCAGGTGACCCTCTTCATCTCATTAAATCTTTGTGAGAAGAGATGAGCTTACAGCAAGTCCTGGAAATAAGCATTGGTAATGACTTAATAAAATCTAGGCATTGGGAACTTAACTGCAGAAGTGAGGTGAAGGTAACCGTTAGGGGAACACACAGGTGTGCGTTTTGAGCGGCACATGACAGAATGATACCAACAATGTGTCTGTTATGGTTGTATTACTGTGTTGTAGATTATTGAATGCCTGAAAGAAATAAAGAAGCAGTTGAGTACCCGGTGCCACCAGAAGGTGTTTAAACTGCAGGAGACAGAGATGATGGATCCAGAACTCGACTACACGCTCATGAGAGTGTGCAAACAGATGATCAAGGTAATGGTAGTGTGCTGATTTAAGAGGGTAAGGTTGGGATAGAAGAGCTGTCGGTTTTGAGTTTCTCATAAATGCTTGTTCCAGGACTGCTGTGTTGTTTCAGAAGTATGATTGCTTTTTTGCAAAGTAATGAGTTTCTTAACTCTGCATCGGGCTAAGGTTCCTTCCAGGCTCTTCTCTCTCAACTTTATTTCCTCCAAATATCTGTTCAAAACCTGTGCGCTAGGAATTTGTCTTCCTAACTGACAGCAGAATTGAGGAAGATGTCTGTGCTGAGACTTTTAACAGTTTTCATCCAGTTGGTTTGGATTTGGATTGGCTTTTAGCGAAGGTGAAGAAGTTGTGATTACAGAGAGAAGTAATGTCTTCAATTCACTGCTGACCTGGTGCGTGCAGACCTTCATCCAGCTGATAAAGCAGGCAAAGTCATGTAAAGCTTAAAATTAGAAATCCTGGCATAAAGTGGTACCACGTGGAAAGCAGCAGTGAATGTTAATACAAGACACTCTTGCACAGTAGCTGGAATTGCAGGTTCTGCAACACTAGTGCGTGGGGTCTGTATGCAGTACCCTGAGTCCGTATTGTGGCCGAGCAGAACATCTTGAGAGTTTATTGCTCTCCAGTACAGATCAATGCTTTGTAAAAAAAGACCTGTCATCTCACCAAAATGGTGAGGATTAGGAAACACAACAACCTTATCTTATACCCACAGGATTAGTTTCTAACAAAAAAAAATTAGTGTTTTGGTCTGAATTTTGGGTAAGCTGGTTCACTTCTGACTGTCTAATCCAGCATGGGGATGGGCAAGTTAGTATCAGTGAGCTCTTCTCTGCTTTCTCATTCTGTATGGTTTTACTTTGTCCTGAGTATTACTAATGAAGTCTGTACCTGTCACTTTGTCCGGCCAGTGTTTGTGTAGAACGGCAGTATGTGTATAGACTTAAAAATGCCCTTTTTAGTTTCTAAAATAAAGGGGAGTGAAAGTAGTTGGAGACCTAATTTGATGGGTATTTTTTGCAAAGTGTGCTGTAAGTTAGGAATAGCAAATAAAGTCAAATAGCTTTTGATGCTGCCAGCACAAGCTGGAGCCTAGGAGCTGGTCAAGACTGTACAGCTTAGTGCTGACTCCATAAGCAGAGATATTCGTGCCCATAGTGAATTCCGAGAGTGGCACTGTTCTTTTTAATAGGAGGTGTAGGGGCTACAGAGTGTGTCTGTATTGCTCTGGGTTGGGCAGGTGGTTATTCTCTTCTATTAATACAGTTGGGTTTTGTTTCAAGTGCTTAGTGATGCAACTTGGCTGTTTTTATTTTTTTGTAGCGGTTTTGTCCAGAAGCAGACTCTAAAAATATGTTGCAGTGTTTGAAACAAAACAAGAACAGCGAAGTTATGGATCCTAAATGCAAGCAAATGATTACCAAGCGCCAGATTACACAGAACACAGGTATTGTCTTCTGAAAAGAACTTCACTTGCCTGCCCGACCTGTTGAGTGGTCTGCACGGCTGAGAGAATATTTGCTTTGTTTTATTCTCCTTCATGATTGCCGGTGCACACACTGACTTCATTCAGGCAAATTCTTGAGGGTCAGCAAGTGTGATTGGATCTGTTTTATTCCTGAAGCTCTTACCTCACAAGTTAATATTTTTCCCCAAAGTTAAATTTGTTGGTCGTACAGTGTCATCCAGGAAATTTCTGTCAAATCTTGTGAAGTATTATGTTCTGTAATCCGAAGAGATGTGTACTCTAACGAAGTTCTGTCATCTCTTCTGGTTAGATTACCGCTTAAATCCAGTGCTCAGGAAGGCCTGCAAAGCAGACATACCGAAATTCTGCCAAAATATCCTGAATAGAGCCAAGGATGATACAGAGTTGGAAGGGCAAGTCATCTCGTGCCTGAAGTTGAAATATGCAGACCAGGTGAGCAGAGCTGGTGCAAGCGAATGAGAAAGCGTGCTGAGAACACTCACCGAATAACAAGTCAAACTTGGGCTTGTGATGTGTTCAATGTATGTAACAGGCTGTACATAAGTGAGTTTTTATGCTCCTATATGAGTATTACAGAATGCACAGGTTAAAATGCAAGGTGGTTGGTTTATGAAAATAAAGGACATTGTGTGGGTTAATGACTTTCTCTGCTTAATAGCGTCTCTCTCCAGACTGTGAGGACCAAATTCGAGTGATAATCCAGGAATCAGCTCTTGATTATCGGCTGGATCCTCAGCTTCAGATGCACTGTTCTGACGAGGTAGGAGAAGTAGTTCTGCAGCTACTTTTTTAGGGCAAAAACTCCCTTTGTGTTTCATGAAGTCCCTTCATGTGACAGATCTCTGTTTCTTAAAACATGAACTCTCCTGATAACGAAAACAACAAAAAAGCCCCTTTTGAACTTTTTCTAGCTAGTTAAATTCTCTGCTTGTGACTTTTGCCCAGTGTTCAAGAATTGCAGTTCCCTGTTTTTTCATCTGGGATCTCATCAGCACGTGTGACTATGGAAAAACACTGCTTTCCTATTGTAAAAAAAAAGAGTGTTAATTCTCTGTTCTTGTCAGCCTTAACCAGACTACAGTCAGATTTTTGAGCTTTCACTTTTGATGGACAAATAAGCCATGCCTCAAGTACTGCTTATTTCATATCTTAACATTATTTCTATGCTGTTTTCCTCCCTGCTTTCCTCCTCAGTGCAGCAATACAGACTACTTGCTGTTGGGTTTCGAAGGATGTGCATATTGCATGAGCCAGGCTGCACTGGTTCTGGGGATTCTGGGGGGGAAGTACCTCCTTGTGTTCTCTAGCTGCCCCCTGTGATGAACTACTGTACTGAGATATAAATGTGCTTAAAGGGAGAATGATTGTTGTGAACCATTTATGTTAAAATACCTTTTTCAAAATAGATTTCCAACTTGTGTGCAGAAGAAGCAGCAGCCCAGGAGCAGACTGGGCAGGTGGAAGAGTGTCTGAAAGTGAATCTGCTGAAAATAAAAACTGAAATGTGCAAGAAGGTAATAGAAATAAATTGAATGTGCTCTAAAGGGCCTCCCATCCCTGCAGAAAACTGTGATTTTTCCAGATCACAGCCCAGGCCATGTTCTAGCTACTATGAAGCCAGAGTTCTGGGAATTCCCTTATGCATCTCAGTTCTGGCCTGCAGCGATTCAATTCAATTTCAATTTGACAGTGAAAATTGTGTTGACAGTGCCTCCTTTGCAATTCCAGGCTTGGATCCTTTCTTGATTATGGTTGCCAAAGTTTCTTGTTACTAGTCTGTTTCCTGTTGCTGTCTCTGTTGCAGGATCCTGAGTGCTGGGTCCGGCCCAGGCACTGGCTGGGATCTAGGGCTGGATGAGTTGCCCCATGGCTATGACACCTTCATTCAGTTCTAACTGAAGTAACCCTGGTATATTAACTTTGTATTTTAGATTAATACGGGTATTTTAGTGACTATAACTACGTTAACCCTTATAAACCAGGACATTTAACCCAGCCTAAAGCAGTATTCATAGCCTCATCCAGGGAAAGTGGTGGTTTTCCTCATGATCTTGGATTTAAAGAGATGATACACCTTTCAGAAACGTTGAGTAGTATGAGTTTTGTTCTCTCTCCTTTTTTTGAGATGTGCTTGTAATTTCCCTCTCCCCAGGAAGTGCTCAACATGCTGAAGGAAAGCAAAGCAGATATATTTGTTGACCCAGTGCTCCACACAGCCTGTGCCCTAGACATCAAACACCACTGTGCTGCCATTCCACCAGGGAGAGGACGCCGTAAGTGCTCATGGTTTACTCGTGTGACCTCTCAGTCCTGTGAGCCTCAAGCTGTGTTTTCTTACCAGCATTGTCTTAAGTACAAGGTATTTCCACCAGTCCTTTGCAGGTAGTAAGGTAGAACAGCTGCAGAGGTGGCAGATGCCACTGGAAGATGGGTACCAAGAAGTCCGTCCTTGTGTCCAAGGCGGGATCTATTCTTCAATCCTGATGTAATATCCTTGCAGCCTTATCTGCAAATGTAATAAGTATATTTGATGTTCCATCATTCATATGATTACTGACAATAGTGTGTGATACCAGATCTGTAACCCTTCTATAAAATCCCTCCTCAGTTAAATCCCATTGGAAATGAACTCTTAATACACATGGACTCATTTTTCAGTGACATATATCTGACAGCCTGTATCAGCTTCACACAAGATACAGCTCCCAGGCTTACTTATGACAATGTTGTATCAGACTGTATCAAAAGCTGCCCTAGAACTAAGCTGCTTCTCTTATAGGAGCAAATCAATTTGGTTTCACAAGATTCATTCTTAGCTAATCCCTTTGGTCGGTCTTTCTTTGTGTCTGTCTTTGTCCATGGTTGGCTTCTTTGTTTCAGTATTTTCAACAGATAAAATTAAGCTCTGAAGTCCTTTGATCTTTTTTTTTCTTCTCTGCTTAAACATACTGTTTTTTTATTCTCCAATATTACCGAGGGTAGGTAATCTTTACTACACTTTCTAAGTTCACGTAGTAGCTAAAGGCTTTGAGAGTTCCTCAGCTGTTGCAAGT